CACTTTGAAGATATCAATATGTAATACAACAAACATTGTTAATTCCCTACCACTTTGCTTGTAACTCTGTACTGTCTGTACTGTTCCTTTGCTATTTTGTAAAATATTTTCTGTCTGTTAATGTTTTCCTCCTTTTATTTTTAAAATAAAAAAAAATAAATAAAAAAAGCAGCAAGGAACCAGGAAATAACAATTCAACAACTGCAAGATGAAGCACAGAAAAATAATGTCAGATTAATAGGTATCAATGACACAACAGGCATCAACACAAATGACATAAAAATACTATTTGCAGAAATAATAGCAGAAAATTTCCCAGGCACAGTAAAAGAATCAGACATCTACTGAAGCATATAGAACTCCAGTTAATCATAAACAAAATAAATCTACACCCAGACGTATAGTGATCAAGATCCCGGAAACTCAACAGAAGCTCAGAATATTAAAAGCTGTTAGAGAAAAGAAACAGATCACCTCTAAAGGAAAGCCTATCAGAATCACGGCAGACTTCTTAGCACAAACCATCAAGGCAAGAAGGGCTTGGAGTGAAGTATTTCAGGTACTGAGAGAAAACAACTTCCAACCCAGATTGATGTACCTTGCAAGGCTCTCTTTCAAATTTAATAGAGAAATAAAATATTTTCATGATAAAGAACACCTGAAGAAAATCTTGAGTGCCAAATCAATCCTACAAAGAGTACTAAAAGATATTCTAGAAAGAGGTAAAACAGACCATAACTTCAAGACCAACAGAAAAGAACCATCAAGCAGAGCAAAAAAAGAGGATCCAACAGCAGGAAAATAACCTGACCAAAATAAATCAGTACATATGAGTTATAGCAATCAATGCAAATGGTCTCAATGCACCAACCAAAAGAAGCAGACTAGCAGAGTGGATCAAGAAACAAACTCCAAGTATATGCTGTACACAAGAAAAACATTTAACTCAAAAGGAAATTCAAAGACTGAAAATTAAAGGATGGAAAACAATACTCCACACAACAGGAACCCAGAAAAAGCAGGTGTAGCTATTCTGTTTCCAGACAACGTGCACTTCAAACAAAGAACAATCAAAAGTGATAAAGAGGGGAAGCTTCAGGAGGAAGACATAACAATTGTAAACATTGATGCACCAAATATAGGAGCACCTACCTATCTTAGACAAATTCTAACAGACATGAAAAATGAAATAAGCAACAGCACAATCATAACAGAGGAGTTTCACACACCATCATCACAAAGAGATAGATCAACTAACCAAAAAATTGAGAAAGAAATAACAGAACTTAACCAAAAGTGTGAACATATGGACTTAGTAGACCTTTTCAGAGTGTCTGCCCAACAGTATCAGAATACACATTCTTAGCTGCACATGGGGTGTTCTCTAAAATAGACCATATGCTAGCACATGGAACTGGTTAAGTAAATGCAAAGAAATTGAAATTATCCCATGCATACTATCAGACCATAGTGCCATGAAATTGAAGATTAAAGATAAAAGAAAACACAAAAACTCCATAAACAGTTGGAAATTAAATAATATCCTCGTGAACAACCAATGGTTCACAGATGAAATCAAAGTTGAAATTAAACACTATTTACAATCAGATGAAAATGTAGATATAACCAGAGGAACGTGTGGGATACAATGAAAGGAGTACTCAGAGGGAAACTTATAGTGGTGAATTCCCACCTCAGGAAAACAGAATAACAACAAAAAGTCTTATGCTACACTTCAAGGTCCTAGAAAAAGAAGAGCAACTCAAACCCAGAGCCCAAAGAAGACAGGAAATAATAAAGCTCATGGCCGAAATTAATGCAATGGAGACTAAAAACAAACAAACAAACAAAAAACAACAAAGAATTAATGAATTGAAGAGTGGGTTCTTTGACAGAATAAATAAAATAGATAAACCTTAGCCAACCTTATCAAAAAAAGGAGAGATAAAACTGAAGTACAGGCAATAAAGAATGAAAGGGGTGCAATCACTACAGATCCTGAAGAAATTCAGAAAATTATCAATACTTACTTTGAAAATCTTCAGTCTCATAGGATGGAAAGCACAGAGGAAATGGACAGATTTCTACATATATATGAATTATCAAAGCTAGATTAGGAAGATATAAATATTCTGAATAACTCAATATCAGCCAGTGTAATTGAGAACATAATAAAAAACTTGCCAATGAAGAATAGCCCAGGTCCTGATGGATTCACAGCTGAATTCTACAAGAAGTTTACAGAAGATTTAACACAATTCTTCTCAAACTCTATAATGAAATGGAAAGGAAAAGAATTTTCCCCAAGTCATTCCTGGAGGCAAGTGTTGCCCTGATACCAAAACCAGAGAAACACCCAACCAAAAAAGAGAACTACAGACCAATCTCCCTAAAGAATATAGATGCAAAAGCTCTAGCAAACAGAATGCAACAAATTATCAGAAGATTATACACCATGACGAAGTGGGATTCATACCAGGAATGCAGGGATGGTTCAATATGTCCAAATCAATTAATGTAATACACCATGTCAATACAGCCAAAGACAAAAATCACCTGATCAACTCCATGGATGCAGAAAAACCCTTCAATAAAGTCCAACACTCATTCATTTTTTTTTTTATTTTAGAAATAAAAGGAGGAAAATACTAACAGATCGACAATGTTTTACAAAATAGCAAAGGATCAGTACAGACATTACAGAGTTACAAACAGAGTGATAGGGAATTAACAATGCT